GAGCCATGCACGGTTGCGCCGCTGAGGCAAGGCAAAGGCTTGTGTGTTCAAGCAGCGGTATTGGATGTGGTATCCGAGCCGAGTCAATTTCGAAAAGAAAACATTTGGAATTGGACTTGAGGAGCGTGGCTGAAAGAATTCATTTTCACTTGAAAAGGTCTTCATTTTTTCTTTCAAACAAAGTGCTTTTCGAAACCAGAAATTTGAATGAAAAACAGTGCCTCACACCAGAATCGAAAATTTCAGCCAAAGAGTGTCTCAAAACCGGATCTACCAGAAGACCAAACAATTTGACAAAGGGTTCAAACATATCTTCAGCAAGACCAAAATTCTGAACCACAAAAAAAGAGTGGTCTCAACACCTCAAAGTTGGAAGAAATGAAAAGTTGGAAGGCCCAAGTTGGAAGAATTGAAAGTTGAAAGGTGCGCGACCCATTTTCAAAAGAGCAGAAAATTTGGATGGGCACCTTCCAACTTTTCGGCTGCCACCACAGGGTTTGGGTCCCAAAAAATTTGACCGAAAGTCTGAGCGAAAGCTTTGACCGAAATGTTTTGACCGAAGCGTTTTGTTTTTTGGAACTATGTTTTTCAGTTTTTTGTTTTTTTGGGGGGGGAGGGGAGGGTGGGGGGGGGGCGGGCTGGGGGTAGGCTGGGGGTGGGTGGGGGGGGGGGGGGGGGGGGGGGGGGGGGGGGGGGGGGGGGGGGGGGGGGGGGGGGGGGGGGGGGGGGGGGGGGGGGGGGGGGGGGGGGGAAGGGGAGAGGAGGGCGAGGTTTAAGTAAATTGATGTACTCAGCTTGTCAGCTGTTTAGACAAATAACTTGAAAATTCAGAATGATACCACATACAATTTCTATTTATTTTGTCTTGAGGGTTTAGGGTTTAGGGTCTAGGGTTTAGGGTTTAGGGTTTAGGGTTTAGGGTTTAGGGTTTAGGGTTTAGGGTTTAGGGTTTAGGGTTTAGGGTTTAGGGTTTAGGGTTTAGGGTTTAGGGTTTAGGGTTTAGGGCTTAGGGTTTAGGGTTTAGGGTTTAGGGAACTCTCACGGCTCGCAGTCTTGAGGATGAGGGCCCTTGTTGCCGGGGCACGCGTAAACTTTGCCATTCTGCCCCAGAGACGGGCCGCCATCTGAGAAGGACCTGATACACAGTGGGGTTTAGGGTTTAGGGTTTAGGGTTTAGGGTTTAGGGTTTAGGGTTTAGGGTTTAGGGTTTAGGGTTTAGGGTTTAGGGTTTAGGTTGCGAAGTGGGACTTGCGCAGATTTAACTTAGACGTTCTGTTCGGCCTCGAGACTAGCACCAAGCCCTGGAAACAGGACCGTGTTGAAGGCAGCTGCGCACGTTCAACATCGATTGGGTTGCTCAACCCTAAACCCTAAACCCTAAACCCCCAAACCCCAAACCCCAAACCCCAAACCCTAAACCCTAAACCCTGAACCCTGAACCCTGAACCCTGAAACCCAAACATCCTGAACATGAAGAGGACGTAATATCGCAGGCCCCGCGTCGGCCCCTTCTTATTTTCATGGTGGGTTCTTTGAGGGTTTAGGGTTTTGGGTTTTGGGTTTTGGGTTTTGGGTTTTGGGTTTACGGTTTAGGTTTAGGATTTAGAGCTGTTACGGCTTGTGGGCTGCAATGCTTTTTAGCCACTGGCGTTTTGAAAGTCTCGGACTTCTAGGGGAGCAGTACATTTTGGGGTTCCACAGCTGCTGAGGCTCCAACCCTAAACTCAAAACCCTAAACCCTAAAACATAAACCCTAAAGCCCTCAGCCCTAGGCCCTAAACCCTAAGCCCTAAGCCCTAAGCCCTAAACCCTAAACCGACCCACACAAGCAAATGCACATCTGCCGCGGCACTCGCTGGAGTTCCGTGCTGGGGTCTTCCACACTTCCTGCTTAGGGTTTAGGGTTTAGGGTTTAGGGTTTAGGGTTTAGGGTTTAGGGTTTAGTGTTTAGGGTTTAGGGTTTAGGGTTTAGGGTTTAGGGTTTAGGGTTTAGGGTTTAGGGTTTAGAGTTTCGAGTTTAGGGTTTTATTTAGGACTTAAGGTTTTAAGGTTTGGGGTTTACAAGACCCTAGAGTATCCTCGGAATAAACAGGTTCCCCGTTGAGGTTTGGAGGGGCTTACAAGGGAACCCAAGCCCTTAAAAGAGGGAAACGAGGGCCTACTCTGTGGTTTAGGGTTTAGGGTTTAGGGTTTAGGGTTTAGGGTTTAGGGTTTAGGGTTTAGGGTTTAGGGTTTAGGGTTTAGGGTTTAGGGCTTAAAACCTGTAAACCCTTATACCCGGAGGGTTGGGGCTCGCAGCCCTGGCGATGTGCCCCTGAGAGGTTCCCTTAATTTGCCCCTACCATGGCCCTTGTATTCCCTGAGCGGATCTTCAAACAGGGTCCCAACCTTGGGGCTCCGAGGTAGAGTGCCATGATATAGCCCTAAACCCTAAACCCTAAACCCTAAACCCTAAACCCTAAACCCTAAACCCTAAACCCTAAACCCTAAACCCTAAACCCTAAACCCCCCCACCTGACCTTCCACCCGAAGTCCCCACTAAGACCCCAAGCCCAAAACTTAAAGCCGTAAACCCTAACCTCAGCCAAGAACATCCGAAAATCTACTCCCAAACAGCAGTGAAGCAAACCACAAAACCCCAAACTTTCAACCCTCAACCCTAAACCCTGAATCCGCAACCCTCAACCCTCAACCCTAAACCCTAAAGCGCAGGGCTTCTGAGTCTACAGTCCGATCCGACTGGAGCTTCAAGGAATAGGCTTGCGGTACAGGGTTTAGGGATGAGGGTTGTGGGGGTAGTGCTAAGGGTTTTGGGGATTTAGGGGGCTTCGGGCGTTTTTGGCTCTAAGTGCCTTCAGGAATGCTGCGCTAGACGCACCCTGCACCCGAAACGCGAAACTTTAAACCCCTATGTGTGAGCTCCGAGGGAGGTGAAGGGGTTAAGCTTTTTTCGGGTTTCGGGTTTCGGGTTTAGGGTTTATAGGGTGGGTGGGTGGGTAGGTGGGTGGGTGGGTGGTGTCCTTCCCAGTCTGGAGCGAGAGCTTGTACATTCCACCTGTTGGAGTTTAGGCTTCTCAAGGTTTAGGCTTCTCAAGGTTTAGGGTTTAGGGTTTAGGGTTTAGGGTTTAGGGTTTAGGGTTTAGGGTTTAGGGTTTAGGGTTTGGGGTTTGGGGTTTGGGGTTTAGGGTTTAGGGTTTAGGGTTTAGGGTTTAGGGTTTAGGGTTTAGGGTTTAGGGTTTAGGGTTTACCCTGAACCCATTTTTTTTACAATCCTAAGCTCCAACACCCAAGCCAAAGCACTACAAGCTCAGCAAGGATGGCGTTAGGGCTTAGGGCTTGTTAGGGTTGACGGTTTAGGGTTTAGGGATAGGGCTTACGGTTTTTAGGGTTTGGGCTTCTGAAGTTTAGGTTTTTATTTCAGGGCTTGGGTGTTAAGGTTTGGGATTTTAATGTTTTTGGCTGCTCTCCGAACCCCCACAGACGCATGGAGGCGATAAACTACAGTTTTCTCAGGGTGTCAGGGATTAAGGCGCAAGGGCTGACTCCATGGTCTTCCTCCTCATAGTACTCCTCATCTGGGTAGTACTCTTCTTCGATCACGGCAGCCGGGAAGGCTCGTTTGCCGAAGCTCTTCCCTCGTCCGCCCTTGTGGCTCCTGTTCTGGTAGCCACCTCGGCCAAAGCCCGTGGCACCTCTGCTAAACTGGTTACCACCACCGAGGGCTCGGCCTTCCTTCAGGTGGACACCTGTGCAGTGCTCCACTAGGGTAGCACAGACTGCCTCGAAGTCCTTGGCGTTGGACGTGCAGGCTTTGACTACCAGGGCTTCCTGACGGGATAGCCCCGATAGTTCGAGCAGCAGCTCGACTCGCATGGGTTCGGATAACTCTACGCTGGAATCCAGCGTGCGCAGGGTTTGAGGGTTTGAGGGTTTGAGGGTTTGAGGGTTTGAGGGTTTGAGGGTTTGAGGGGTTGAGGGTTTGAGGGTTTGAGGGTTTGAGGGTTTGAGGGTTTGAGGGTTTGAGGGTTTGAGGGTTTGAGGGTTTGAGGGTTTGAGGGTTTGAGGGTTTGAGGGTTTGAGGGTTTGAGGGTTTGAGGGTGGGTAGGGTTCCCTTAGCCTTAGACCAAAATTTAGGGTGTTAGGGATGCACCGCTTTTTCCTAGAACTTGCTTGTCTGACATCTAGGCTCCCGCAACCACTCCCCCGTACCAGTTGTCTAAACCCTAAACCCTAAACCCTAAACCCTAAACCCTAACCCTAAACCCTAAACCCTAAACCCTACACCCTACACCCTAAACCCTACACCCTAAACCCTAAACCCTAAACCCTAAACCCTAAACCCTACACCCTAAACCCTAATGCCCTAAACCCTAAACCCTAAACCCTAAACCCTAAACCCTAAACCTCCAACCTGTGAAGTCCATGAAGACCACCGAGCTGTCGTCGGGAAACCTCGGCAGTCTAGGGCCTGGGGTTTAGGGTTTAGGGTTTAGGGTTTGGGGTTTGGGGTTTGGGGTTTGGGGTTTAGGGTTTAGGGTTTAGGGTTTGGGGTGTAGGGTTTAGGGTCCAGGAATTCGCGCGCTTGCATAGTAGCCCCACCCCCCACCCGAACTATTCTCCTTCACGGTGTAGGGGTCTACCCCCCAACCCTCCTAACCGAAGGAATTTCTTGTTGCCATTCTCTCAGTTTGCTAGTGGAGCTGGCTCTAAAACCCAGACGGGCAAAAACGCCAAATACTGCAGAGACCCCAAACTCTAAAGAAGTAAACCCCCACTTACTAAGTCAAAAGGGCTTCCCATTAAGGTTTGAACTAGACCCAAGAGTAACCTATATGGGAATAAGAACAAGGGTACCCTTCTTGGTCTGAAGGAGCTTACAAGGGAGCCTAAACCCTAAAAAAAGGGAATAAGGGCCTACTCTGGGTCCTAGTCAAGCTTTCAGACCTACGTCGGCGCTTGGAGTGTTCGGTTGGCCTTGGGCATCTACTTTTTCGGATCGG